TATAAAATTTTTAACTATAACCACAAGATATTTAGCAATCCACATGACTAGAGAACTGCAACTACCAGCAAAGAAGGAAATTTCCTGATGAGCTAAGGCTGGTACCTATATCAGCCCAGGAGGAGATACTGGATCTTGGGGAATGGAAAAAATCAGGGCATTCCTCTAGCTGCCTCATTCGGGGCAGTCAGATTTGAACATCTGCTCTTGATGAAGAAAGTGAGAAGGAGCAGCGTGGACAACATGGTGAGGATGCAGTGAGGTGAGCTTAATGCACATGGTGATACATATGTTGCACTAACACCGGTGTAGCATGGAGAGTTTGGCAAGCGTATTTCAACCACTAAGGTGCCAGTGTCTGTTCTAAGCTCCTCACCAGGGTTCACATGTGAGGACATTCACAGGACAACTTGCCCTCATAGATGGGGTTTCATTGATGCTACATGGCCATCATTTCTGCCTGGCCGGAAAAGGGATTAAAAGCTGGGGTGAGCAGCCAGGCCAACCTCAGTCCCCAAGTGTTTGGATTTCAGATCCTTCCAGAGCAAGAATGCAGAAGCCAGCCCTGAAACCAAGACAGACCAAACCCAAGGTCAAAGATGGACCATTTCACAGGAATACTGTGGAGGACATGGATTATCTGCAGTTTGTGCAAAATAAGTCACCTAGATCTATCTATCTGTTCTCTTGGCTTTAGAGATAGAACTTGTGCTGGTTTTTTTTTTGTTGTTGTTGTTTTTTTTTTTGGAGCAAAAAGTGATAGCTAGAGCTTGGAAGACTAATTTCAGATAAGTGACTGGAACACAGTACCCAATCTAGCCTTATTCAATAACATTGTAACTAAACAGGCAGGAGATCACCAGCTAGCATGCATAGACATGTAAGGCAGCTGTGCTGCGCCAGCACTGCAAAAACAGTACAAATGCATTTGCAAAACGCAGTCTTTGTTTCATCTCCGTTGTTTTCCAGGCCATGAATCTCCTCACATCTAAGAGATGAAGAAAATGGACTAGACTCTACCCTTTCTTGACCATTCCCTTTTCACAAACGACCCTGTGGAGAGCCACCACGGGCCAGCACCTTCCTCCTTTGGCTACTTACACATCAGCTTTTGGGTCACCATCCACCAGTGCAAAACACAAACCCAAGCCCAGAACCAAGGCATCTGACCTGTTTTTTTGGTTCACTTACTTATGACAAGAAGTGATTGCCCTATCCTCTTGCTGATTGCCAAAAGGGCAGGTTTCCATCCTCCAGTGCAACCCATCCTATCCTAACCACATCACATTCTTCAGTTATTTAGATGTTTAGTCTATAAGGCAGTTCAAGGAACTGTTACTTTAAGTCTCCTGTTAGTTCCACTTTGACTGTCATTTCAGCAAATTCAAGCCATTGCGTTTTGCATTCACGCAATGTCTTTGTGCCACCCAGTAGTGTCTGTGCAGTTGTATGGGGTAGTGAAGGTAACCATCTCATTGGGAGTCAAAGATAATATGCTTCCTAGCTACACATTTGAAATCTAAATGCGTGTTAACTTGAGAATAAGTTGAATACAAACTAAATTTTAACTGGTTCCAAGTCAAAGGGACCTTTCAACATCTCTTTGGAGCTGAACAAACTCACAGGCACTTGATCACAAACATGTAACTTCTTGACACCTGCCAGCCAGATCAGATAGTGAATTTAGACGAAAACATTCTGGCAATCTTTAAAATCTTGCTCTCCAAGGTCAGCTAAATTTTACATATACTTCTGCCTGGGAAATGAGATATAATGATTGTTTCAAACTACTCCTTTTTTTTTTTTTTTTTTTTAAGTACTCTTTTTCTCTCTCTTTCTCCCTCTAGATATGTATACACAGACAATGATCTAGAAGTGTGCAACAGAGAACGCTTTACTTTTTCCTGAAAGTAAAGCTGAAGGTGGTGTTTCCCCACCTCCACTCTGGTGACAAACGCTGATGTAAACAGCATACATATGCCCGTTTAAAAGGCCACAGGGGTTTTCACGTGAATCCTGTGTTTTTTCCAGAAACCGTGTTACGTTGTATTTCAGCTTAAAATATATCTCTTCATTTCTGGTTAACCTACATCCCCTCTAAGGCAAACATAGTTTTCAGTAGTAGGCAGAACCACTTAGCAGAACCAAATTTTAAAAATATATATTTCATTTGCAGAACCCTTTCAAGTAATAATTCTGATTGTTGCAATATTAGCATAAGAGAAACCAATATTGACACCAATGCACACTGAAAATTCATTTTAAAAACATCAGCCATGCCTTCAGTATTGACAGGAGTAAAACCTGTCATTTATAACGCCACTGATATCATAACAGGAAGGAAGTAGACCTCAGAAACTATAAACAGAATTTAACAGAAGTAGGAAGTACCTCAAATGCTTTCACGTAGTGACTGTAAAAAAATACTAAAAGGAGAAAATATTTTCAGGGTTTTTCTTTTACTTCTTTTTTCCCCCCACTTTTTATGTATCAACTAGTTATTTTGAACAGTAAAAGACTGTCACACAAGTCAAGTACACCTTTAAAGTCCTCATTTATGGTATAATCAACAGCTTGATTTTTCTTCCACTATTTCCCCTACACACACTCCCCAGTAGACATATTCGGACTTCTTTGCTTGTTTAAAATAAAGCTGTCATGTGGAGCTAGTCTACACCAATATTAAGCAAGTTGTGCTTGGACAGGACTTAAATGATGTTCTTTGCCCTCCCTCTTCATAGTTGCTGACTTTAAAGCACGCTTTTTTCAAGGATAATAACTAAAAGCTTGTTCCAAAGCCAAAAGTGATAGTGTACCTTCGATATTTAACAGGAGATGATATCACATAATGGAAAACATGGCTCCCTATCTTAAGATATTTTACAGAACTCTTAAATAATTTTCAGTTTTCTCTGTCTGCAAGCTATTGAAGCTGCTCAAGGACCCTTATTTCCAGCAAACGATGGCTGCTCTGTGAAATTAATTCCTGTAGTTTTAACTTAACTATTTCAGTTACTTTACTATCCTCCTTTTCATCCTCTCCCAGACTTCCTCTCACTTGAGAGCACTCCTAAAACTACAGCTACTCCTAAAAATCACCTCAAGGTCCAGGCCCCAGCTTGGCAAGGGACAGGCTAGAGCACGTAGCAGCACGCGGCTGAACGGGAAGGGGCACGGGCCCCTCGGCGGCAGCGAGGCACTGGGGCAGAGTGCTGAGGTGCACAGCAGCACCCCATCTCCAGCAACAGGACTTGGTTAAATTATGCACGGCACAGGAACTGAATAGCCGCTGGCAGCTGAGCCGCAGCCTCCCCGTTTTCCCTTTTTCTACTAATTGAGCTAACATCATGGACATTTTTGTAAGTAAAAATCCTTACCTTTTGACCTTTCCCTGCACTTTTGACTTAAAATAGAGTTCCCCACAGACTTAGCCAGAAGCCTTGCCCAGGTTAGCTGTGCAGAGCTGAACCTGTCAGATGCGCCCCACTACTGAAAATAACACGTACAAACCAAATTGGTAGGGAATAAGGATTTTATTCTAAGATGTGAGCTGAAGCAATGAGCATATGAAGCAACGACCACTAGAGAAAAGTGAAAACCATATCAAATAATTGTATCGTACCAGTGCAGTCTGAACGCAGAAGTCCCATTCAGCAAAATGTATGCACAGGCCAAAAACATACACAGAAGATCTGACAGTCACCTAAAGCAGTGCTTTTGAAGTCTAAGAAAGAGGTCTCCCTTAAGCCAAGAAAACATTTCAAGTAACAAAGAACACAAAAATAAAAGTGATCTGTCCTTCCATTTGGCACTATGGAGAAGGAGTGGGATAATATATCACAGAAGAGTATGCATCGGAGAAGGAGTGAGATAATATATCCCAGAAGAGTATGCATCTTTAAGATGTATAAATTAAAGGTCCCTAGAACACAAGTCTGCTGCCAGACCAAGTACCATTTTTAATTCCTCATTTAGAAAATCAAGTGAAGTATGCTTGCTAATCATAGGGAGGATCATGTTATGTAGTTAAAGCTCGTAAGATCACCTGGTCTGATCTCCAGCACAACAAACACAAAGGAAAATTTCAAGATACAAACCCAATAGACCTCTACTTCTCTTTATCTTTACAATGGCAGCATAGCTTAAGAGCTGCAAATTGCATGAAATTATACTTCTGTAAAACTTTTCAAAACAAGAGTAAAAATAAATATTTACTTGATTGTCTTAGTATGGGAGGCCAAATTCTGCTCTTCTTGAATTCTGCCTTCACATTTATTTCAGTACCAATGGAAGGGAGCTCTGAGCGGACAGGAAGAACAGAATATGGCTCTGTAAAATGCAGAAGTGGTAGTTATTTTAATTTGGGTCATGCACGTGACGTGAAGAAAGGTTACCATTACCATTTTTGTGCTATTTTTTCAAGTCCGCCAATTTAATTCTAATGCACATATATATATAATGCATAGTGGCCTGCAATCATTAAAAAATGCAATTTATTTTTAAACCTGCTCTTCAAGACTCTAGAATTTTAGTGGTTATTCCACTAAGTCCATGGGTAATTCAAGTTCAGTGGTCATTTTTCATAACACAGTACCATAAATTAACCACTTTAAAAACTGCTATTATGGGGCCAATAACAATGGCAGCAACAAAATCCATTGTTAGGAATAATGTCAGTCAGGCATTAAAAAAATATGTCTCTGAAGAATTGCATTGTTTTTAAAAAATACATGGAAATTTCTACACAAGAATATAGGCATAAAATGTCTACCACACTTATCAATCTAAATTCATAACCTTTTACATGTATAGCTATTCTCAATAAACCATCTACATTTGCTACCCACCTATAGTAGCTACGGTTTCAAACTGGGAATATCGCAGATTTGTGTACCTTCCCTGAGATCAGTAATCCAAAATAAATAGCCCTGTAAATGTGACAATATGTAAACTATGGATTTAAGTCTTCAATAAGAATCAGTCCTCAAAACCCAAGGAGAACATTAAGCAAACGTAAACATAGCAAACATTTCGTCAGTTTTGAGTTATTCCCAGCAATAGTGGAGTGTATGTGAGATGTAGCATCCAAACGCTGAAAACCCGTCATTTGTATTGTACAATATTGTTGTTCTAGTTCACTTTCCTATCATTGAACCCTTGATTCCCTGAATGCATCCAGCTGCGATTTGGATCTCCAAATTGCAATTCAGATCTGCTCCTCCATGCTGTATAATCTTTACAGTGCCTTTAAAAACAATCATTCTGAGGATCTTATTCTTGAATAGAGGAATGGCGAATAGATCTGTGATAATCCTCTGGACTAGTCACAAGTTCTGGCAAATCATAGCCTCTCAGAAGATGTCCACTGTTTTGTTGAGCAAAGTAATACAGCTGCCTGGCAAACATTGGTTCAACCTTAAGAACAGACAAAATGTTAATCAGACATATGACAAATCTGCGTGCTCTTCATATTAGTTATTTATAGCATTTTTAAGTTAAGCACTAGATCAGACAAAACAGTTCTGCTTACCAGAATGGGAAAATAATTTCTATATCTGCTCTAATTGCTGTTTTAAGACAGGGCTTGCCTGTTATGATGCTAAGTGCTTTGCTAAATGCATGCATGCCTTACCTGCATGCCCTTAATTTAGAAGGACATGTATCAGTGACCATAAGTGATGTATTTGCAGTTGCACACCATTAGCCGGTCCATAGGTGTTAGCGATGCCTGATGTGGGGCTGCACACACCAGGCATGTCTACGGTCAAGTTAGACACATTTAAATGCACACCCAGGGCTTTGGAAGTTTAGCCTTCACTTGCAAGAACTTTAAGCACTTAACTTGAAACACTGGAGCCCTCATCTGTGCCTAGATATGTTGCCAAACAACTGTATTTCAAATTAGACCTCAATCTAACTCCAAAGTTACTCATTTCTGTTCATTCACACTCTAATAAGGAATCTATTCAGCCACCGACATCATCAAGAGGGATTCGTATGATCTAGCACAGCCTTCGCTTCTGTCTACTTAAAAACCACTGTTCTCCCTCAGGGCTTTAGGTACTGGCTGTAAATATTTAAGTTGCACACTAAAAAATAGCACATGAAGCTCTCCTTAGACGTGGGGAATGAGCAGGTTTTGAGATTAGTCTCAACAACCCTCTCTTCCCAGTCAGCCAGCCTCTCAACATCAGGACATGGGCACCATTTGGAGGAATAATACATATGCTCCGGGTCCTCCTCCCAGAAAGCAACAGAGCCAGAAGGGCAACGCTTTACTGGAGCAGCTCTATCAACCCCCCCTCCCCTCCTCACATCAGCTTTTGGAGGCTGCTGAGCATCTCGCGTCCTGCGGCAAGAAGACGAGAGGGTGGTGCAGCCCAGCGAGCCAGCCAGCTCTGGGAACACCTGCTGTGGCCCCGTGCAGCCCAACCCTGGCACTGCTGTGCAGTGACACACAGCAGTGCCCAGCCAAGCCAGGACCTGGGCCAGCCTGAAAAGAAGTTGAGCAGCTTAAGGTGGAACAAATATCGGGGGGGGCCACAAAGCTCCCCAAAAGGTCACGGGGCAGGATTTGCAGCCTCACAGAGAAGCTGCCAGGACAGGGGATGGAAGAGCAGCTGAGAAGGGGTTGCCAGGAAAGAGGGCTGGAAAGTTGGAAAGCTAAAAGGAAGATGGCACAGAGTTTAAGGAGAGAGAGGGGTTTAGAGCCCCCTTAAACAGCTGTTGCATACCTCAGGATGGATTTGATGGATCTGAGAGCTTCCCACCTTCCCCTCTAGAGATTCAGAGGGCAACATGCAGCAGTGTAGCAGTATGAAAGCCACACAGCTAAGGGAAAGCCATGATTCATAACAAGTGTCTGATTTGAAACCAACAGCATCCAGGTGCTTTAGAAAAATTATAGCAGACACCAGGGTTCTTCCCGAGGATGCAAGGAACTAAATCCTGCCACTAACATGTGCATTATCACTCTCTTGCGGGTTTATAGGCCAATACAATCAATATAGAAAGTGCCTTGTCACAGTTTCCATCATCATCCTCTCTCAGATAGCTTCCTGAAACTCCAGCTTTGAGTGTGTGCAAACCGTGGTCATCTGGCTCACTTGCTTGCCAGCTATCTTAACACTGGAGCTGCACAGGCAGTTCCTGCATCATTTTGTAGGAGAGCTTTTGAGGTCTTTGAGAGGCAAGCTGGGGTTACGGAGCATCTCTAAATGCAGCTGTTGTGAGAGCACCACATCCTGCACTTGCAGCCCCAGGCACTGCTCCACTGGGCCAGTAATAACGATAGCGTCCACCTCTCCTAGGGCACTTCTCAGCTCAAGGTCTCAAAGGGCTTTGCAACAGAGGTCACTCATGACACTATATCCTACATGGAGGGAAATGAGGTGCTCTGACCTTCCCAGGGCCACCAGTCAGTGCTTGGCATATCTGGGAATTCAACCCCAGTTGCGATGGTGCTGTATTTTCAAGATTTATCGCCTCCCTCACAACTTACATGAGGTAGAAGAGCCTGACTGGCAGATTCACATCCCCCAAGGAATATGTTGCATTTAGCTAAGGCAGAAATCCTACTTACATGGGCTGTAATTAGTTTCCTCTGCCTCTGCGGATCTGGAAATTCCTCCCCAAAGCACAGAGCAACTTGGTATCTTGGCAGCGGACGTCCATGATGAGCAAAAGCTTGCAGCTCTGGGAAAAGAGAAAAGGCTGGTAAGAAAGTCTTTGTGGGTGGCTGAGCTCCAAGAAGAGGACCTTGGAGCATGGTGGGAGACGATTAAGTGACTCCAGTGGAGGATTAGAGAGGTCAGGAGAAAGGCAAGGGGTAAGGAGAAGGAACTAAGCGTGCAGGCTTTCCCACAGATCAGGAGGAGTAAGTTCTAACATTGCAATTTTTCTATTTGCCTTGCCTCACAAGTCATTTCATATGCACAAGCTGGGATGTCTTCCAATTAATATTTATATTTGGCCTTAACATCAGAAACTTCTGGAACAGTTTTAGGGGACCTTAGAAACAGATCCTGTTATGGTTCCCCTGTGCACACGTGCATTTTGCAGGGATGATACTGCTTATATATTGCTTTTCTTTTTTTTAATAAACAGGTGCAGGCTAACAGGAGATGGAAGGGATTATTTCTGATACATTATTGAAATGAGCCTAGGGAGTCCACTTTGTCCATCTTGCCAGGCCTGGTCTCCAAAAAGGAAAGAGATTATTTCATTCATTTTCTAGACAGGCCTGTGCAAAGGCTTTCCTTTTGTCTGCCGCCGGAATTAAGTTTCCGGGCTTCACTCGATTCTTTTTGTCCAAAGCCCCAGCATCTCCTTTCATCTCCTCCATATGCCTGATGCCATTTCTTGTTGTTACACACACTTTTCTGCTATGGAGCAGGCACCAGTGAACCAGCGGCCCCGCTAAAGTGAACATGAATTTTACCACTGACTTAAATAAGCAGAGGGGGAACACCTTGGGCCTCATCTGGAAAACTCCCAACAGTAGCACTGAAACCACTGAGTAAGTAGAGTCAGAGACTCAAAGTACCACCAGCACAAAATTCAGCCTTAGCTAGACATAGTCACGTAGCCATTATTATCATCACTGTTCTTATCATCACTGGAGGACAGTGAGGCACAGAAAGGCAAAGGACCTCATTTAAGCCATGCACCAAGCCAGGAAAAGAGCCTATATGTCTTCTGAACTCCTGTACTCTCTTCACTAACCCACAACCTTCCACAAAGGGAAAAGGTAGGTCAAATTATATTATTACCTCAATAGTCAAAATGTTCCCACAAAAAATAGCTAGGGAGGTTTTTATAAGAGAGTTCCACTTAGATCAAAATCACTATGTTATATTTTAGAAACTACATTTCCTTCCCAAAAAAATTGCTTCTAATACAATATCCCCAGTAAAGTCTGCATTATGCAAAGTCTTTCTACACAGTTAACTAATAAAGAGTTCATTTTAATTTATAACCCTGTTTATGTTCTCTGGAACAAGTTGCAACAGGAATTAATATTAAAATCAATGTCTTATAATGAAGTACCTCCTGCTACAGAGCAAAAGGAGAATCTTTGAAATGGGCAGGACAAATAACATCCTTTCCCAAAGTACTCAGCTGCCATTTCTACTCCAACTGCTAGCCTTTGAGACCAAGGTGTGAATTGAATGGCCCTAGCTGGGGGCTACTGGCCTTACTGGGAGGGTAAGAGTGTCACTAAGAGTGAACAATGGTCAGTTCACTTTAAAACAAAGTAAAGCATAGTTCTCTCCCCAAAAAACCTTAAAAATGCTCTGAACCTTCTAGAAGTTTGTCAGGAGAGAAGAGACATTTTCTATGGGATTCTGCTTTCCTCAGTGCTACTACAGGACAGGGAAGGACGATCCATCCAGGGCCAGCCCAACTCCAGATACGCTTGTCTCATTTGCTGATGGGGAACTTTGCCCATCTTTCTCTTTCCCCCCAGTTTCACTCATCCTCAGCAATTCTCCAAATCCTGAATACCTGTGGGACTGTTACACAGCCATCTTTGACATGAAAGTGGAAAAGAAAACACTTTCTTTCCCACCTGCAGGATAATCAGGGCTTGAGGTCTGACTCACACTTCTTCCAAACCTTCCACTTCCTCCATCTTCCTCCCCATGCCCAAGTGCCTCCCCCTGTGCCATACGGCTCCCCACACTCCTACCCAAACCATTGCTCACTTCCCACTACCCTGGCTCCAGCTGCCCGTCTCTCCGCCAAGCCAGCCTTCCTCTAGCTTTCGTCTTCACGTTCCCAAATTTTCTTTTCGTACCTTCCCACTCTTCACCCATCCTGATATACTGCATTTATTACGCAGAACTCACCAAACACCTGTTTTCTGAGTTACTGCCATTTTAGGCTGATGAACACTAAAGGCTCCTTAATACAGGGCTCAGTCGTCCAGCACAGTCTCCATTGCAGGGTCCAGCTTCTCAGCAGGACCCCAATAACTACAGCCCGCAGCAGTTCTGCTTCTGCCCCTTTATCTTCTGTTCAGCATATCCTCGCTTGGTAGAAATCTGCTCTGTCTCTTCCCAAGGAAAGCCCAATTTCCTAACGGGAAAATCCCCAAACTTGCCTATACTCTGTGACCTCAATATTTTAAATTGGCCTGCAGATATGATAAGCTCATGACAAGTTACTTATAAACCTAGCTAAGCATCAACACACGCAAAAGCTCACTGTGCACACATGGCAGACTAGGACTACAACCACGTGCTTGGGTTTGCACAGGCATTGGTGCATAAGTAATTTAGCAGGGGGGAAAAATAACTATTGCTTAAGCTTATCTTTGGGGTTAGGCTTCTAAAAAGAGATCCATCCTGTGAACCGTTTGGAAGAACCCAGATCATATCTAAAAAACTACCTGAGAAAAGGGAAAGGGATTTCCAAAACCATCATCACAGGCAGAATTATATATCTTTAAATTAGCATGTGATTGAAGCTTAACCCAATACCTTGAACTCAAATTCCCCTTTTTAACTGTCAATTCTCATATCCATAGGAGATTTCTCTCTAAACGTATTACTTGCTTGGTCATTTTGCAAGGATGACGCACCAGCCCTGGAATGTAAAGTATGCTAAAGCTGTTGGTTTGGATTTGACTTCTTGTTTTGCATGGCATTATTTTCCCGAGAGACTCGTGCCAGTGCTGATGGTCTGCCCTATTGGGAAAAGATGCCAAGCCTTAGCCACACAGGTCACCAGTAGCGAGGCCAAACATCTCAAACGAGGGGCAACGTGCGTTCCCGCTGCCCAATCTTCCTCTCTTTTCTAAGAAAGGGAAATGACTTGTTCCCACTAGTTTATCTGGGTGGACAGCTTTCCTCCCTCTCATTGCTCCAAAGTGCTAGAAAGTGAGGTTGAAGGGGTTGAGGTTCTGCCTTTTCCTTTTGTGGGCTGTCAGGAGAAGACACAGTTCTGAAGTGTGCTGTTGCCCCCTCTGTATCACTGCTCGCAATTGCCCTGCAGAAAGAAAACCTTCCTACAAAGCTGTGAAGAGGTAGAACAAATCTTGGCCTAGGCAGATGCAGTAGGCAGATGTTGAAACTCCAGAGCTTATTTAAGCTTTTTGCCTCCCAAGATCTCTTTTAAACACCAGCACAGAACTCAAACTGAAAAGACTTCTGCTGGAATTCACGCAAATATTTGAATACTTTGAGCCAGATTTCAGACTCGGTCCGGGTCAGGTTGAGAGCAGTATGACTGCAGATCACAAAATTACCCAGGACTTAGACTAGCAGGTCTGAAATCAGGATCCACTTTGCACTATTATCCTACACTTGGGAAGACTGTTTTGTTAGGTTCCTCCTCGTGCTTCTTAAAGAGATGTAGGGCTTTGGGGGTCCCCAGGTGAGCATCAGTTCCCTCCTGTTGGTTTGTGCAAGAGCACTGGATGGGCACAGAAAGCAGAATTTGACAGGATTATTCAGAAGTTAACTATTCCTTAACTGTGCTTGCTTAGAAGAAGTAGTTACGGGGTAATTCTTAAGAGATGCTGATCTCAGGGTTCTGCCAGTGGCCTTGGTGACATAAAAGGATCACTCTCATAAAGCCAATATGGAGAGTGATTGTGAGACGTTTGCAGAAATGATATCAAAACCATAGTGAGAATTACCTGCTAAAAACTGCTGAGTATCAAAGAGCTTGCATGTTTGATCCCGCTCCAGCTTGTTGGGTCTGTCGCTGCAAAGCGCCAGGGGCCCGTCCCAGTAGATCCTGCTCTGACAAAGTCTCTTAGCATAAAGGCCATCGGGTGCCATCCACAGTAATACTCCTCGTTCCAAGTGGTTCAGTAGTTTTTCTATGTTCTTCCTCTGGCCGTTATCCTCAGGATAAGGGAAGATAACTTGCTCCAGGCTGCTGACCTCATAACTTTGGCCATGGGATATCCTACAGCCTTCAGGACTAGTTGTTGTTACTTCTTTTACCAATATTTCACGATAATACAAGCAGATGTGGAGCCGACAATCTATAAGAAGCAAAAAAAATCATGGTGATACATTAGAACGAATGTTTTATAGTATGAATAGGTATTAAGGCCAAGAGACAAATTTGTGTGAGACTTCTAAGCCTCTATAACTATTAGCAGTCACCACCGCTCAAGGGACAGGCTCACATTAGTAAAAATCATATAACGAATCTGAATACTAAAATATTTGGGGTATGGTAACATGAAGGTTCACTCAGATTTTTTTATGAAGGGCTACTGATATGGAAAGTCTGTAGTCCAGTAAACTGCACCTTTCCATTTAGTAGGAAAAATAGATGTAAGAAGTCATTTGTCACATTTTCCAAGCTTTTATCACAATTAAACCCACTGGCTCAGTACACTTCCTCAGATTTAATCAGGAAGTAGCTGTGTCTCTCCCCAGATTTTGCATAAAAGAGACTTCTGCACAGGGGATTTGCAAACTTGCACTTCATTGCCCTAAGAGAAGCTACTGCTAGCTCCAGCTCAAACATTGCTGCAACCAAAATCCCAAGCCTTACTTTCAAATGGCCATTCAGTCAACAAAGCTCACTGCTAAGAGCTCACATAGCACTATATATGTACATTCAGGAGAATAACCCCACTCAAGAAACGTGCTTTGCGCCATGTTGCAGACTTATCCATTATTAGTTTAAAAAGCACACTCCCAAACCTTTTCCTGGAGTTATTCAGAAAGTCCCCCAGTATCTGCATTTCTGCAAATCTGGCCGAGATTATTTCTTTTTCTTTTTTTTTTTAATTCCTGAATGTCCTTTTTTTTAAATCAGGAATAATGAAACAGAGCAAAGCCAGATGGCTCCAGCAGAAGCACAGCAAGATACCCATACAAGACTGGTCTTGGTGGGGGCTCCTCCCAAGTAAAAAACTGAGCTCAAAGTTTCTGATCCCCCGAACTTCCAAATTCTCCAAGGGAGGCCTTCTCGGATGACTCACTGAAGCAACCCAACACTGATGTCTTGATCCAGCAAAGCATTTTTATTAACTTTAAGCACGGAACAACTCTCTTGGACCTCAGGCTACAAGTGTTTGAATATCCTGGTAAACAGAGACTCAAGCCCATACACCAAACTGATTCATTAGAGAGGTTTCTTTTTTTCTTCTTCTTTTTTTTTTTTTTTTTTTACTAAGAAAGGAGAAACAGTGCCAGGGCAAGTCAGAAATGGGAGTCTCTGTAAAGCTCCCCAGGAACCCCAGAGTGTTATAGACCTTACCTGACAGTGCGAGGGCTTCACCAGACCTTATGCTTGGCTCAATCGGGATGCCAGGAGTCTGGGACTCAGGTGGGGCACAAGCATAAAAAGTTCCTGTCACCTGACAACCTGTTTTCATAAACAAAAGTCAGTGACAACTGCTTAAATTCTAAGAGAAAAGCTCACGCAAAAAGATCAAAGCTATGCAAAAGTGAGGTTTTTTTTGGCCCCACTAGAAACCCTCTCTCTTCCCCCATCCCGTCTTCCTAAAAAGGTCTTACTTCCCATTTTTTTAAATGTGCCAGCTATACAAACCTCTTTAGATGTTATCTGGATTGTATTTTTATTTGGGTCTGCATGAAATGCTCCCTTAGTATTTCAGTACTCCCTCTAGTACTTTTTCCTTGACTAACAAGAATGTGTTATTCTACTACAGAAATAACCTACATTTCAACTAGACTGTAGTGCTCTTAACTTTGCTGGCATAAACCAAGCCATTTAGTCTAAGGAATGCTATTAAAGACAGGTAAAACAGTAAAGCTGGAATTAACACTGGTAAAGTAGATAAAGAAAATTGACCAGCAAGAGACTATTCAGGCTTTATTACCAGGACTAGTATTAGATGGATCCCAGCGATGCCTACCAGCAAAGGGATTATAACATGGGCAATTGAGGTTTTTCTCTGTTTCTTAAGGTCACTAGAAACCTCTGCAGGAAGATGCAAGTGACTTGCCGACAAGCGCACACAACCTTTCCTAGTGACAGAACCCCAGGGTTGGAGCTACGCAGATCCAGAGCCTCAGCGCCTCTTGGCAAGCTGGAGAGCCCAGCGAGAAACCCAGTACCAGCCACTAACAACTGCCTCCAAACTCAGCAAAGCACCCAAACATGTGTTTAACTGCTGCAGAGGATGTACTTCAGGGCAGAGTTCATTCAGCTTAATACCTCAATTATTAGCAAATAGCTCAACTAAAAGCAAATGATTTCAGCTTGACAGTTCCAATAGACTACCAACAAACATTGCAGTGTACAGAGAATTTACTTTTTAGCAGATTCAAAGAAACAGAAGTTTATTTCTCTGCACCAAAACTGCTGGGGAACTGTCCTCTGAAGACTTAGCACCTCTGGCACTCTGAGAAGTCCCTCCTCACTTCTCACCCTCTTCTGCCCTCCTGAATTAGCTTCTTCTGCTTCTCATGAAGCAAATATCTGCCTACTGAAGTGAGTTATCCTGCAAGTGTCTATGACACACAGGAGATATATGACTAAGACACTCGGCCTCAGCTCAGAAGATCTGGGTTCATCTTCCAGTTTTCTACAGACTTGCCCATTGCCAGACTTGTGAGACATTTAACCTTTGTGGCTCCGTTCCCCACAAAGGCAGTGATCATGCTTTCCTTTCTCTCACCTTTCATCCCCTGCAGATTTTAGCATCGCCAGTTTTCACATGATTCAGGATTTTTCCTAAGGATACAGAACTTGGAAAGCTATGATCACATTAGACTCTCACAGTGTAAGATCTATGGGGAAGGGAATGTCCCTTTATTATGTTTGTTCTGTACCAGCACCAAAAGAGACTCAATCCACAAGAAGCTGTCCAATTGCCACAGTACTAGAAAAAGTAGTAAGTGCTGCTTTCCTCTTAGGAGAAGGATATCATTCTAACCCGCAAGGCTGAAGGGAAAACCTTCACAAATGTGCACCTCAAAGGGTCCTGAATCAGAAACCAAAGCTAAAGATCACATGTTCCTTTTTTTTTTTTTTTTTTCGTTTTTTGCTAGGTGGGTCCTTTCTTATCACTTGGGGCTTTTAAGACAGCTGAGGACTTCTGGGAGCTGACTTGGGGGTTTTAACTGAGGTGATTGCGTAACCCACACACTGCACCTATGGCAGCACTGAGGGCCAGAGCCAAGACAAAGGTCTGTGAGGACAGTCAGTCCCTGTAGCTCTAGCCCACTAGAGGCTTGTGTCAAGCCAACTTTGTTCATCCCAATGAAAGTCATGAATAAGAAACATGCGGTCTATGGTCTGTCCTTCAAGGGTGACCAAATACTATCTCTTTTAACCAAGGTGACCAATTGACCCTAAACAGGATCATCTTACCATTTTCACAACCAGGTCCTTGCCAATGATGGCTGCGAGCTGCAAAAGGGATGCTGGTGCACTGGTAGGGAATATCGGGATGGGGCTGTTCCGGGGCAAATTCTCTCCAGTTTCGTTCATGGGGCCCCATGTAGTTTTGTACCTATTCAAATTAACAAGACACTCTTAAGTGGCAGTCGCCAAAACTGATGACGTGTTGCATCAGCTTTCACATTTCAGCTCTTTGGTATTATTTGCTCTGCCAAAGCTTGCAGAGCTCTAAGCATTGCACAGGCTACATGAATGGCATGTTGCCACCACCACCAGTGAGGCTTTCAAATGGACTTCTCACCATTGGCGTAAATAATAAGCAGGGTAGAATAACAAAAGGCAGTCAAAGCATTGCTGGTAAATGTCTGCTTGGAACAGCAATGCTTCATTGGTTGCTTACATTCTGGCATCAACAGGATGGCAGTACACTAATATCTATCACTGAACAGAAAAGAGCTGTTACTCAGGAATAAGCAAAATCAAAGGAAATCAGCTGCCCTGTGGCCTCATATGACATTAGAAAAATTGCTTCTCTACTTCTCAGTTTTCACAACAAAGTGCCTTCCCAGGCAGAACTAAAGAGGGCCATACCAGCAAAGACTGATGTATCACATAGTACAAAAACGCTGCTGCTCGACGTATAAGCACTAAGTAAAATACATAACTAATGTCATACCTGAGACGGTAGTGAAGTGTAAGGAGAAGTTATTGGAAAGGGGTGATTCATCATTAATGGCTGTTCCTCCATGTTGATTTGTTTTGCACCTATGGTCACCAGACAGATGAAAATAAATGTCAGCTATAGCTTAAGGAAATATGAAACGGACGCACTGAAGACAAATCCATACAGCACATCTTTTAGCAAACACAGGACTCGGACACCTTTCAGCAGCCCATACAGGGAAGGACTGCCAGCTCTCCCATCCCAGTCAGCTCAGAGAAGCAGTCTGTCCCACAGAACTTCCTAGGATGTGAAATGCCCTTCAGTCATACTCTAGTGTGCTCTGATGCCCTCCACAAACCCTGCCAAGCCTTTGCCTCCTGCAAACCCTTTCTGGTGCCGGGGTTCCTTGGAGAGCAGGGGGTTCACTTGTGGCAATGCTGCACTGCCACCATCCCCAGCCTTTGTGCAGGAGACCATAGGTGAAGCATCTCTTGGCCCCAGCTCTTCCCCACAGCAGTTAAGTACTGCCTGGCTCACAGCACTTCTGCTCTTCCCCTTATTCAAAACCCAGGTACAAAAAACAATTTTTTTTTTGCTTGTCCCTTGAACTGCTTGCTTAACATGGGCCTCTCTCTACAGAGAACTGGAAGGCAGATGCCAGGTAAAAGAGCAATTCCTGCAGCAACGAACAAGAAGCACATCTCTGTCTTTTACAAAGGGCTCCCTTTCAGTGCTCTGACTCAAATGCCGACAGTCCTCCCACAGACAGAGCCTCTTATTTTAGTCATCAGAAGAAGATGTACTTGAGCCCTGCACTTCAGCTCCTTGTATTCACCGCAACACTAACACACTTAAAAAGACTGCATGGCCATTCCAGAAAAGCATACTTCAGTCCTCATATGCTTACAGTGAGACAGATATTCACACTCCATTACACAGGGAATCTGAGACATTTTACCTTTTTTAGCTCCTTCTGGCACTATTCTGTACACTTTATAGGGATCTGAGATGTCCAGCTGGCTTCTCTCCACCAGTTCTTCAAAGTCATTGCTCTTGTTCAAAGCACACCTTAATCTTGTCTTCCAGGTAGGGGGATCTGGTTTATCAATGCCCTCTCTGAACTTTCCTTTAAAAAGAGCCCAAGCCTGGAAACATTTCAGATAATCAAAAGAGCAAGGGGAAAAAAAAAAAAAAAAAAAGAATCAAACTACAAGGTACAAGATCACAATGCCTGAAATAGCATATATGTGTGTGCTTATATGCGCATGAATTTACTCCCTGCAGGTTTAGGCTAAGAAAAAAGCAGCATTAGGAACACGGTAAGGAACATGGTAAGGAAAAACAGGTTTGGAGGCACAAGAAAAGGGAAAAAATGATCCAGAGTCAATATGGAAACAGATGTGCAGCAGTCCCACGAGCATTTAGCTCCACATGAGGGAATGGGGAAAGGAAGGGCAGTCTCACGCTGCAAACCTAGACCGGGGCGAGGGGCGCTGGGGGCAGCGAGTCCCTGAGTGGAGTGAGCCTGCCGGCATGGAAGAGACGGGACGGCGAGGAGCCACGACGGTGGCCCAGCCGCTACACCCCTGCAGCCCCGACGCTGGGCTGAGCCCTACCTTGAAGAGGGCAGCATCCTCCTCACGGTTGTAGTCCTGCTTGCCAGCGTGCTTCCAGGGGATGCGGAAGATGCTCTTCTCGTCATTTTCCCACACCAGCCCCGGGTACTTGCCGCTGTCAATCTGGTCGATCAACCACTGGCGGAGTTTCCCGTTGCCGCAGCTCACTGAGTTCATCCCGCACTCGCCCGGCTCCAAGTTCATGCCACTCGCGTTGGGGGTCGGGATGGGGGGTTTTGGGGTGCTTCACTTGAGCCCGCTTCTCTGCAACGTGCCCACGCACCGGCTCTCTGGGGGCTGCAGGGGAGGGGGGAAGAGGGGTAGGATGCAGAGAGAGGAAAACCCACAGTTCAGGCGCCGGCCAGAGACCCCACACGGAGCCCTGCCAGCGGTGCTGGTGCTCGGTGCTGCATGCACCACGCTAAGCGGGGCTGCGGCACGCAGGGGCCCTGGGGGGCACAGTAGCGCTGCAGCGCAGAGCCCCGGGAGGCTGCGCACGGCCCCTCACATCCCTCCCCAGGCACCGCTCAGGCTGCAGACTTTGACAGACTTTCCTCCCCCTCTCGACACTGTTTTGCATGAACACAAGCCAGTTGTTGAAATTTTCATCACAGAGTGACTAAAGACACAACCCCCCTGACCTGCTCTGAGTTCAGCCGGGATTTTATTCTTCTAACCAAAAAGATAAAAAAATTGTATTTAAATATAGTTCCACATGACAGTGCACATATGCACTAGCAGATACATGCACACAGTTTAGACAGCCTCACACACATTTATGATTTATATGGTACCTAACTATAATGTTGAAGCAGCTTTTTCAAGCTCATTTAAGCAAGACACATTCGAACACATGATGTCCTATACATATCTACGTCTCCGACTGCTCCCAACACACATGTATAATAACATTCAAATCTATATATTGCAAATACCTAAAAGTGGAAATACACCAACCTATGGAGCCTGCCACAAGAACACTTTGCCCAGAGGCGGGCCAGTTTGCAGCCAGCTACACCCAGAGCCCTTGCTAAGCGCAGAGGTGTGCGCACTCGCCCGGAGCGGCGAGGCTCCACAGAGTGATGGGCGCCCACTGGAAAGGTCCTAACATGAGCAAACCAACACCAGTGATGGTGGACCTGGAGTAAAGTTTGTCCTCCCGACCTGAGAAAGTGCTTGTACGCCCAAAAGCTGCGGGGGAGGGAGGGGTAGGGGGTCCAACTATATCTAATAAAAAAGTGAGTCCTCACCCACAGTCCTTGCCTCCACACTCAGGGAGACTGTCAGAGCCCCTGGTTAGCCGTGAGCACGCTGGTGCGGGCAGCTCCGCACCCCTCACTCCCCTCCTCAGGGCGCAGCTCCCACCACCGCAGCCAACCTGGTCGCCGAGTTTCTCCCCAGGGCAAGACGTGCCCGGGGGGGGGGGGGGGGGGGGGCAGCCTAGACCCCCTTTATAGACCTTCCAGCTCCACCCCTTCCCACCATGCTTTGCCCTCTGAAGGGGAACAGTTTGGCAGCTCTTCCTCCCCTGTTAACAACCTTGTCAGTCATTT